CGGCTGCTGGGTTAGTGGTGGATCCAATACTGATATTGAAAAGGCCTGTGGATACTTTGATGCTGCAACCCCGCTGTTGCCATACAATCCATCAGGCAGTGTTGATACTTCTACAAAATAAAGATATGCATGGCTCAGCTATGCAGATAAAGTCTAAAAAACCAGCTTTAGCTAAACAAAGACCTGATACACTCGTGTTTAAACAGGATGCATCAAAAAGCAAAGTGGGTACCTACAACATTAACATGGTAATAAAAAGCTTACTAAAACAACATAAGTAGCGAAGAAGTAAATTCTCGGATTAGCAGCAGAATGGGGCTGAGTCACGTCATTACTCGACAACTATGCTCTGCTCTAATGACTTCCAGTTTAGATTTCGTCCCAATCGCCTGGTTGTAAAGGTCACGTTGGTTAGATTCGAAACCAGATGTCGTTGAAAGTTATGGGGCCAATCAACCAAAAAAACAAACCTAGAAAAAATGCAGACTCGTGTTCAGCTGCTAACAACTTGATCTCCAAACAAAGCAAGGCGCGTGTGGGAAATGGAGCTATTTTTAGACAAAGGTAAAGTGCAATTTGTGTTAGTTGAGGCCGACATCGCTTCCACGAAAGATTCTCCATTAAAAACGTCTGTGAACAATTGGTACACACAGGCGTCAGTGTCAAGCTAATATCACTGTCAAAATACAATTTCAGACGCACATAAATTGTTCAAACACAAAGTCAACGAATTGGTGCAAATTGGGCATGCTCAAATAATGCATATGAATGGCACTTGGCAGTGTTACAAAAACGATTACAGTGGGGTGAAAGCCGTGACGAAATCAGACGGCGAGGAATTAGAGGTGAAATGAAATCAACTCAAAGCGGGCAGTCTGCGTTCAAACAGACTAATGCGTAGAGGTACCGTGTCGTTTATATCGACTAACACCCAGTAAATACGGCCTGATTTCCGGTACATCAAGCAGTTGCACCGGGAATCGGGAAGATGGATTGAACTGATCCAGCAGCAGACCACCCGGCAGGAGGCTTCAGGACCTCAGGATTCTGACAATCACACACTCAATTATTGCGGCTCATCATGAGGTCGACAATGGTGGTGATTGTAAAGCAAATAAAAATACATAAACAAGGGTTTAGAACTGTAGGTTCTTCATAATTTCTGTGCAGAGTTCAAAGTTCTAGTTTCGCCGAAATGCTCAACAACTTACGTCTGATGTAAATACAAGTCATGACTAGTGCGAGTGGATTTGTATCGACAAACACCCTTAAAGTTATGCTTACAAGTGCTGACAGATGACCACCACCTCGTTCAACTTCAAGCTAATTTAATGAAAGTCTACTTGGAAGTCACTCTCCGAATGCGCCAGCTTTTCTCGCCCTATGAACAAACAGGAGATCGTGTAAGGAAAGCGCTTGCAGGCAATTTATCAAACCTTTAATAAACCAAAATAAAAACAAAGGAATTTGGCAAAGTTAATTGCAGTAGATAATACTCACTGAAGAGCCATTTCGTCAGCGACAATCATGTTTACGGATTCACTTCATTAAAAAAAACAATGCTTCATATTGATGAAAACACTCGATTATTTCTTTTTCAAACTGACCACTTGGAAAGAAAGATTTGGCAAAACCCCGCGTCTCATAAACCACATTACGAAGCCCGAAAACGTCTCCTACAAGCAGGCAGTCATAAAACGATAAAGTTACGGTCTCTTGATAAAAACCTTAAGCCACCTTTGCTACTACAAAAGGCTTTGTCACCTTTACTGTCATTCTTATGCACAGATCACAGGATGGAAGCTACTCGAAATTAAAAACACCAGGGATGACCATTCTGAGAATTCCTCGAAATCCTCGCGATGAACAGATATTGTGTCCATGATTACGACGTCAGCGTAGTGCATTTAAAATCGCTTTCAGATAACACACACACACACACGCGCATATTTGTTCATGCCATCATTACGCGTAAGGCCTTAGAGTGTCGTCTCACAAGAGAATACTACATGGAAAAACACTGCAGTCGTAAGCAACTCGAATTTATAGAATTTTGAAGCTACTCTTTTTTGCATGATATGAGGTTTTTGTTAGCATTGTCAAAGATCTCATTGCGATTCCGAAGCAAAAGTGCGAATACTTTGCAGTCACTACCAGATGCACAGTGAATAATCGATTGGAAGCGAAACATCACACTTAGAGGGTTTCACGTTATCTCACGTTTTCGGCCCATACCGCAGACACCAGTGCTCTCGCCGACAATGACAACACGCACCCTCCTGCAGCAGATGTTGATCAACATGATCTGCGCCGCCTTCTCCTTTTTGAAAACTGTAGGTCACACAACAAACGTGTGCACAAACACATGGAAATCGAGGCACAAAAATAACACAATAGTTGTGGTAACTTTGGTAGTACATGGGTACGTCACTAAGGCAGCCATAATCCCGTAATGTATACACACGATGATTATACGGTTCAGGTACCCGGAATGATTTTAGGCAGATATTTTGGTATTGAACTGATGGCACCACAGAGGATACAAAAACACAAAGTAATTGTTGAGGGACAAGTATCGATGAATTACTGGATCGGCGACGATCCGAATATCTATGCAAGGTAGGAAGTCAAAGTGGGCCTAAAGTGAGCGAAATAGGTTACAGAAAATTGCGCTTCCAAAGCAGAGACCGTTTTAGGTCACATTAGCATTCCAAAACGGTTGGAATTAGTACATGGAAGCAAAACGCACGATGATCCCAAAATACTTGACGGAAAGGCAGATTACACAGTCTGCAGGTGCCGAAACCCAAAGAAAATTGCAAACGAAAACAGAATACAAGTTGTAACAGGGACGGCTTCAAGATAGCAGAAGACTTACGCTAAAGGGAGGTCTTGAAAAACGTGTTTTTAGAGAGAAGCGGACAAAATTACTCAATATTGAAATGGTTTAAGATAAGAGGAAGGTGGAAACTAACAAGGTTAACACAAGTGAAAAGTACACTAACCAGGAGGAACCAGACTACCTCCACTACCCATCGTCAATGTGCCCTGCGCTGCTGCTGTCATGGGAAGCGGCGGCGGAGGCAGTGACTGAGTTGGGTCAACTTTCGGTCCTCTCTGCTGTTGCATAGCTGGTGGAGGGGCACCCCGGTGATCAGAGGCTGCCAAAGAAGAGGTGGAGTTGCTTGTAGAAGCAGCAGGGGCAGTTGCTACGGAACTTGGTACCAAATGGGGGTGAGTCGGCGACTGCATCCTCGAAGCAGGCTGAGACGGTGCTGCGGACACAGATTGGGAAAGACGCAATTTTCCACTGTTCCCAGCAGTTGCTGTTTGGGATGGATATTGCACACAGGAGAGGACATTAGTCGTCGATGTGGCCGCGGCAGCAGTAGAAGACGGGAGGTATTGAATTGTGTGTGGTGTCTTTGGTGTGATCTGTACGTTAGTGGGCTGTTGTGAAGTGCGCGCCTCGACTTTTTGATTCGGCGGAGGAGGCTGCGTTGGTGGACCCCCATTACCACCGAAGAAAGGTCGTTGCTGCTGCTGCTGCATAAAATGAATCTGCATTTGGGAGCTTCCTCCAACTCCGTTAACGTGCTGATAGTTCATTTGTTGCACATTTAATTGAGCATTGAAGAAGGTATTATTTACCTAGAGAAGAAAGATTATTGTTCAGGTAAAATGCAAAACCAATGGAAACATAGAGGAAGATTGATGATGTACTCAAATGAACAAATGAGGTCTTGGGTTTGCAATCTGAACGCATTTTTAAGGATTCAATGTAGTAACTTAATACCGCATACAGGATATAACTTATTTGGTCATGTGAACTTTGGACATCCTAGAATGAATGGTGTAGGTTACATAGCTGGAAGGGGGTGGGGCCTCATTCTTACAGTAAATGAGACTCAATTACGCAAGAAAAATGATAAAAGGATATAAGATATTTAATTCGGGTCCATGGCCACCCTAGTTAATTAAATCGTCAGTAGTCGTTTTTAACATTTCAGGCCAACGCGCTCAGCAAAAGCAGAAATAACACGCATGCGCAAAGATCCATCCGCACATGTGAAAAGCGCGAGGCCACATACGTTTCCTTGCCACGCAGGACAGGTAACCCGCACACGCGCATCTGGGCGTAGCAGTAGTCCTACACTAGTGATGCTAACAGAAAGGCAAGGTTGGCTGCGACGCGTGTGCACGACCTATCTCTCCACACATTGCCTTGGTACTTTCAGATATTAATTGAGCACGGCAGTAAACGTGCACGCGAGCGTACGCTCGCGCACAACGCGACAAGACGGAGACAGCGGTTGGGAGGATGGGAGAGCCCGTGGGGAGTGACTACACGTGCGCACACAGGCACAGGCATTCGCGGCTCACAAAGAAATTTCTACACATCGATTAAAACCATGAGCAAGGTCTTCGTGCGTGTGCGCTCGCTAAGGTCACCCGAGAGTGCCAGCCAGCCAGTTGTCACGTTCTCTACTTACCGCGAGCCATGTGCCTTGGTCAAACCAACTTCGAGAGCTACTTCATTCATATTTACACGTTTTTGATCCAACCGTTATCGCTGCGATTCACACTCCCCTCCTCTTGCCCCCACGTCCGCCTCATAAATACACCAACGTGTCTAAATCAGAGTGCAGGGTATAGCCCAAATCAGCTGAGGCTGGGTCAGGGCATTGTAAAGTGATGATTAGCAAAATGCGCAAGCCAGTATAGTGGGTAACAGTAATAAATGAATTTAATTTTGATGCACGATTCCAGCAACATTGCAAAAATGGACACAAGTCCCGAGTGAACCGTTGAACTTGCTACACGAGAACGACAAATTTGCCTGATGCCGGGAATCCATACAACAGCTACTGTGGGTGCTTAAAGCAATGTAATAAACAAATAATGCACGATACCAAACAAACATTCAGCTTTGGGGAAATAATATAGGCACTTTAGTCTTAGGAAAAGCATTGTGGAGGCAATACCTAAGTGCTCAGGGACATTTCGTCGACTGAAATACATAGCACACGAGAAAAGTCATAAAAAAAACAATGACACCTAAGTGTTAATATCTTCAAATGGAATAAAGTTGTTTCAACTCTGAGGGTTTCATGATTTCACAAGATAACCATTAAGACTAACAGTATCACTCTGAGGGGATACATTCAAAGGTTTACCTCTAAGACCAGCTGGAAATGTACATTTGAAAATCCAGTTTGTCTTAAAACAGCTAGTGGGGAAACTCTTCGGGTTGCGAATGCACGATACATTCAAACTTCAAGCCAACGCTAAATTGAGGTGCAGCACTCAGTGGCAGTGGTTCCTCTAAGCAGGCCATCCTCAACCTCCAAATAACGCATAACAAAGCATATAAAAGGGGCAGATCTAATTTCCGACTCGTTTTATACCATCAAGCAATAAGGAACTCGCAAAATAGGTAACACTAGGAGCCCGCTGTTCACAATGCAACTTAATTGACGACATACTTTGACGTAATGAAGCACACGTGACATCTCAGACGTAAACTTGTTACAATAATACGAACGGAGGCCGTTGAAACAGCACCTAGCCCCAATAATCCTCTCTGGGTTTGTAAGTGAGACTAAGAAAGTTGTCATATTTAACTGCAAGTGAACAAGTTTGTGTTTAAGCGGAAATTAAAGGTCCCGTCGATTTAAATAGTCAACCGACAACTAAAAGTACATTAGCGCAACCTGACTACGTGAATATTGACTAAAGGTTATTTAGAGAGTTGACGACCACAGACAGGCCTTTTGCGGGAAATTTGGAGCAGTTTCAGTCAATGGACAATTATAGAAGAAATAGACATCAATACACAGAGACCAAAATTGTGCCATTTTACATAACACTAACCTCCACTGGCATATTACAGCCTGATGAAAACATTAAACTTTTTAGAGAGCCTACGATCCAGTTAAGTTTTGAAGAACCGACAATGGACAATTCCAATTTGCCTGAATTACAACAGACATTTTTGGAATTATAGTTAATAAATAGACGATCTTATCTGAGAGTCGCCTATAACCAGACTGAGTTAACAACTTGCAACAAACCAAACACAGAAGATACGCCAGGGAGAATAAAAGAGCGCGAGGTAAGAGACGGAATAAGGGACTCACTTGTATTGATGGAGGCTGCTGTGAGGCCTGTTGGGATACCGCAGAAGACGATGGAGTAGTGGTAGTGGGGATCGTGGGAGAAGCTGACGTAGGACAGATTGGTGGGGCAGAGGTTGGCGTTAGACACCGAGCATCACCGGGTCTCACTTGATCAGCAGAAGGAAACACACCGCCACTATTCGGAGGCTGAATTTGGTCCAACGGACGACCCATTAACTGTGGACCCTGTGCCTGAGATAGTTGTTGGTGTGGTGACAGTTGACTTTGCGAGTTGTGAAACCCAGAGGTGTGACCCACTGGAGGTGACGACAACTGAGAAAATTTTGGGAGAACATTTTTTTTCACAATTTCATTATGAAAGGGATGGTGAAGCAAAAGTATTGGGCGCACTACTATGAGATTGCACAATACTTAAATATACGCTGTATTTAGATGCGTCAACAACTAGGAAGTGCTCACACATTTATATATATAGGCAGAAATAACATCAGTCTTGGTTTATGTAGACGAGAATCTTGTGTTACATTTTCAGTGTACCAACAGCGTATTATTTGCCCAACATTTGATTGAGTTTCCAAAAGTAATTAGTATAGAAACAAGCAACACTTAAACGAGGGTAATTCAAAGCCGCGTATTCGGAAGGCGAATTAAAGCTGAAAAGTGTGAACACGACCATGAATGAAAAGGGAGTCGCTACATAGACCATGTTGAACTATGTATGTGTGACTGGGCATCTCAAAGAAGTAAATAATGCAAGGATCATTAACAATGCGCTTGTAAGCAAGCCTAGGTCCACGAGTACAATGAGTTTCACAGGAGCACAAAATATTTTAAAAAGGTGATTGTCAAAAATGTAGAATCGCAATGAAAAATCTTGCTGTAAAACTTTTAAGATAACGAATTAAACTCGACTGATCAGAAATGCAAATGAATGTTTCAACAGAGGCAGCTAAGTCAGAGTCAGTTAAGAATACAACTCCATTTGAGTTAGAAGAAAAGGCAAACTCACTTGTTGACCTCCCTGACCGGAGGAATGGGACATAGGGAGCCCCTGAAAGGAACTACTACCACCAGCACTGGGAGTAGAAGCAACAGTGCCCATTGAATAAAGGGAACTGGGATCGCTTTCGGGATTGGGCATCACACCTCCATTGGATGAAAAACCAAGTATGTCTGGCACCGAAGTCATCCTTGAATACCCAGAAGGCGTAAGAGGGCCAGTGGACGTGGTAGGGGAACAGAACGGTCCCTCCGAGCCTGAGAGTTGCGACAGACGCGCGAGGCTTGCAAGGCTCGCAGAGGTGAGGTGCTGAGTTGATGATGAAGACAATGGAGCACTGTCTGCTGAGTGGTTATAATTACCGGAGAGAGTCTGTTGCTGCTGCTGCTGATGTTGGGATGACGAACTTGAAGGAATGGAGGAGCCCGTGGAACCGGAAGGAGTAGGTGCATATGCAGATTGTTCCATTACGTGCGCCCCGCCGCCGGAACTGACAACGGCGCTTCGAAAGCCCGAATTCTACAGAAATGTGAAACTGGTACTTTAATAATGAGCGTAAATTGAAACTAGCAGCATAAATATGGGAATTGTCAAACGTTTGAATAGCCAATGGGTGATGCGGAACTTCTATGTTCAGTAAACATACCTCCCGTTGAAATAGCTAGATGAGTTAGAAAGCAGTATCGACAGAAGTTAAAATTGTTATAGAAATTTGTCTTGCTGCGATAGCCATGTACGAGTTCGGTGGAACAATAGATGACGGTGGGTATATTTGAACTGAACGTGAATACACGAGCAGGAAATTATCACGAAAAAAAAAGAGCAACAATCATATCAGGCTATAGCCAGACCGTTATTAGAGATTACTTGTTAGCAGATCGCCTACATTTTTGTGAATGAAATAGGATAAGAAAATTAAATTACAAGTCTTTAACTAGAAAATTAATTTCCGAAGTCATGCAATGCGCCAAAGGAAAATAACAAATAGGTTTAGACCAAGAACATGAGTCACTGGACAACTGCAAATTAGATTTATATAGTAGGAAATCAAACTTTTATTCAGCTACCACCTAATACTGATTGCAGAGAATTACAAACCAGTTGTTCTCAGAATCGAAAGCGTTACTTTTTTGAGATCCTACTTTTTCTTAAACATCAGTAAAATACCCCGGTCCACACTTGAAAGCTTGCAAGACCAATTGCTAAAACAGTTAAGAATGTGATTTAACATTTGTCCCCACTATTTCCCGTCAACTTTACTGACTGCCCTCTCTTTCCACGAGCTGGGCAAGATAATGGCGGATGCAGACTATATTTAGCCAAACACCGTCAGTCCCAGTCCCGCTCTGTGAAACCAATCACACTGATTGGCTAATTGCAACAGTAGACAGTTATGCGCTCTTACAGATAGTTGATTGCTTGTGCCCTCGTGTGAGCGTGCCTGCAGGTACTTGTTAAGATGGTCTTCATTTCATCTCACTATAACTGTTTTGCTTTCAAAATAAACACAAACCACCGGGCAGATTGGTTAAAAAATGCACACATTCTGGCGATTTCAAGCTGCCCAAAATTTCCTTACAGTCCAAAGAGGTACTTAAAAACCCGGGAATGCATTGTAACATGAACGTCCAAGATCTATTTTCGTCTTTCTCAAAAACAAACTCTTGAAATGGTGTACGAGAATATCGACTCGTCAACGCACTGTAAATGGATTATAACATTTTATTTCAGATAATCTCGTAGCAATTTAACATTTACCACGTTAGAGTAGGCAAAACAGGTTAAACCAATCGCAAGTGCGCAAAAGGCAAAGCAAGATGTAAAGACCACAATTTTCAAAAATCACATCACTATCTTTATCAAATCCTACTAGAAAAGGTTAAGAGATGGGTTTAGGTTTTACGGGAGAAAGTTTGAAACCGTGACTACAAATTACTTACCCACAAAATATGGTTCTCAAATTTACTAGAACTAATCAAGCCTTGAAAAAACTTGAACCGCAAAACTGAATTAATTCGCTAGGTTAGTGCACGTATAGCCGTAAAAGTTATTTGCTTTTGGCCCTTCGAAGAGCTGCTTATAATGAAAACCCAGTGTAGTCGTTTGTGAGACTCGATTTCCATTATACTTGTTTCCCAGAACATCAATTTCACAACATAATCAACAGCTTAAGCATTAGTTTATCCAAACAAGAAGTATTCGACTGATCACAACATCTAAGGATTCTGTCATTTTAAGCTACAGATCAAAGTTGATTCAAAAGCAATAACCTTTAAGTAGTTTTGAGTAGACTGACCAAAGGGGTATTTCATTATACCGGGGACAGAGAAACAAAACTCCGACATGATCATTCCAAGTTTAATCCCAGAAATGACAGACGTAAAAGTTTACTTTTTTGGAATAGTTATTTAAATAAAGTACAATAACTACTCTAAAATATCGTTTAGGAACGTACAGCATATCCTCCGTTCATGGAGTCACCGGGCATGGGTTGGTAATTGTTACTCGAAACTGAACCACGTGGGGGTCCGATCGGGACGCTTCCGAAACCCCCGGACTTGATCCCTCCTCCAGGAGGTTGTGGTAGTCTCTGCGGTCCACCAAAAGGTGAAGCTGCAGTAGGTTGGACAGGACGAGTAGGAGTAGATCGGTTGGCAGCCGCAGTTGTCGATTTTCGTTTTTTACTCAGTCCGCTTCTCCCTGAATTTGGCCTGCCACAGCTAACTGAAGATGCCGTCGTAACAATGGGCGGCTGGACCTGTTGTTGTAGCAACATTGCCTGCTGCTGTTGTTGGTGTTGCTCAAACATAGCTTGTTGCTGATCCCAAAATTGCTGTTCTGGAGGCGTCATCTCAGGTGGGTAAGGTCGCTTGTATGGTGGTGGCGGAGGTGCGGATGGAACGCAAAATCGATTCGATGAAGAAGGGTAACCACAGGCATTATTTGGAGGTACCACAAGAACAGGCGGACCCCCAGCTGATGGGGTGTGGGCAACCATATGTTCTGCCGGGCCACCGTACGGAAAGTGTACAGTACTGGGGTCTCCCATAGCACCAGGATGTTTACGCTGCTGTACCCACGAAATTCGGTCAAAATCACGCTCTTCTGGCCTGGGAACCATCATCCCACGAGAATGATACTGAATATCGGGAGATATGACCCCTGGTTGTTGGGGAGGAACTGAAACCGAAAAACATAATAAGGAAATTTGTCAAAATCTTTGGTTCTCCAATAAATCAGAACACCAATTTACAAGTCGTAGGGAATGGATGCCTGATATTCCATAATTTTCTATGTATGGTACCACAAGCAGCATTTGAATCCGAAGGCATTATTGCAAGGATTAGAAACCAAACAGTACGCGGTGGTAATCGAGCCCAGTTCTTTATTTAAGTCAACAAAAAATCACACATTTAGGGGGGGGGCGATGTTTAATCCTGGAGAATTGTCAACGCAAGAACAGACACGACAAATGGAATGAAGTGAGCGCTAAGGCCTGAGTGGGACTGCCGAGTTTAGCACGCATACCAGGAACAACGTGTTCACCATTTCCGAATGTGTAAAAGGATATTCGACACAGGCTTGACAACAGGCGGTGGCGGTGACGATGACTCAACCAGTATGTGGCACTAACAGCGACAACAGGGGGATGACTCACGATGCGTAAATGGCACGCTGATGCGGTGCTTCCAACATCATCGTCATCGTCCACTGTTGCAGCGCCACCGACATAACCAAAATGGGGTCGCGAAAACAAAAGAATCGCCGTTGGTTATAGAAGTTATTAAAATCACTAGCATAGGGCACAATAACCAAGTAAATACAAATCGAAAACGCGAATTCACAACCATATTGTGGATGCAACAACGACAAAATTTGTCTGCTGTTTCAAGTTCAAAGTATAGACTAGTGCAAGCACGAAGGTCGTAAATCAAAGACAACTAAACTGCTTCGTTTTTTAAAAAATCCATACGCCAAACCCAAGATGATCACCAACGTTAGGAGGTTACATCAGTGGTTGTGTACAGAGAGGTGTAGATGAAGTGATTATGAGTTTGGTGTACAGAGAGGTGATCCTGCCTCGGAGAAATAAAGTGAAATTCTTTTGGGAGAGCTACGAAAAGGTCTTTCCACAAAAGAACGCCACTGTAAGCTCATTGAATTGTCGTAAAAACCACAAAGGAACCCAACAAGGCGGTACGCGATTTCTTAGTCTACCCCTGAGGTGGCATACATCACGCACATTGAGACATGAATCAAAGCATCCTCTTTTAACAAAAGTATAGGAGTGATTTTCTTGTTCCAGGTTAAGTTAACCAGACCGTAACCTGTCGATCGCGAATAGGTAGTGGGAATAACGAGTGCGGAACAAGTTGGTCATTTAAAACATGAGACGAAGATGAAGAAACTTACGCTGGTCTGGATGAAGTACTGCACCGCCAGTAGGCGATAGCTGTGATATCTGCCCACCGCCAGCATAAATTTGTTGTTGCATTGCAGCAACTGTGGCTGCTCCAGGTGTCGAAGCCATCTTACTTTTGGTCAATTTGGAGTGGATCTTTTCGAGTTGGGCCATTTTACTCTTCCGGTTCTCTAATTGTTCTTGCGTGACCGCGACGTGATCCACGACACCACCCACAGCCGCGGCACCGGGGGACCAGCCATTATGCACCATGAATTGGTGCACAAGTGGATGCATTGAGTGAAACGTTGTGATACGTAGACGAGTCCGCGCATACTTCGCTGCAGCCTCATTGGCAAGCTCGGTGGTAAAAACAAGGGTGTGCGAGGGGGCCTGACCTGGGGGACCTCCAATCATCAGAGAGGGGCCGACCGCGGCAGAGGGGTGAGATGCACTAGACACGATGGCAGGAGCAGACGACGATACTGCAGCTTTCGATATCGTGCCTATCTCATTTTTTATTCCACCGACTACATTACATCCTAGGAAGTAAAGCAGCAAAAGACCTTAAAGTGTCCAGCTAGAGCAAATAACCAGGAGGTAAATTCCGACAAACCACAATTACAGCACAATTTCAACCAAAACCAATGAAAAGCGGAAGCTAGCAGAGAAGCGGATAGGAGAATTTCCGCGACAAAACACAAGAATAGTTACAATCAACACAGTAAAATACAACAAAGTTTCAAAGGATAACAAGGGGAATGATATTCAACCTATACAGCCTGAAATCGTAAGTTGAGGTAAGCAGATACCGCCACCTTAATTCACAGCACCATGTGCGTGTATTGATGAGGTCATGTTAAAATAAAACAAGGCGCACCCGTACTGCAACCCCTAAACGGTGCAGAAACCCAGTATATCGACTTTACACCTAAGTGCGTGCCTGTCATCTTAAACAGCCAAAGGAAAACTATTTGTGGTAAATTGACGCAAAACAGTGATGCTCAAATAACAGCGAGAACACAAGCAAGAAAATACCAGTCACTTCTCATGCGCTTGAATGAATCGCGACAGAAGGAACACGTTGAAGTGCTAAAATCACATGATAGATGTTCTTAATGCGTACACATCACACAATTTAAACAAGATGCAGCAGATGAGAGCAAAACGGTAGAATAATTGGGTAGATATGTTTATCATGGTTAGCATTACACGATGTAACTAGTAAAAATATTAAGGACCCGGAAGTTAGTACAGACTCATATTCCCATCATTTTGGTAGTGTCGCGGAAGGTTGAATTCTAGCTTTCATCAGGCAAAAAAGCTTAAAACAAAAGCTTAAACGAGAACACTTCTAACTTGAATTGATGAGTAGTTTAGAGGTCTCAGGGCGCAGCCTGTGATAGACAGAGATGGTTGAACCAAATTATTTTAAAATTAAAATTATTTTTATATTCCCAACAAGAGATTGGTGGAAAACGGAGATAAATAGAATAACTTGCAACAGGACATACCAGCTTCTGGCTTTGGTCCGGTTGCTGCAGAGGAAGACTGACAAGAGATAGTCATGGAGGCTCTTCTACGACCTGCGCCCGTTGAGAAAGATGAGAAAGGAGGGGCCGAGTGTGGTTGTCCACCATCAGCCTGTGAGGCGACGGCGCTGGGTGTCGGTCCACTGGCTGGCCGTCGAAGGGGCGAGTCGAGCTGTGACTGACCTGTCACTGTGTCAACAGTCGTCTTGCAGTCCTGAGATGGTGATGAAGAGGAACAGAGTGCGGATGAGGATCTAGGAGGATCAACACTGCTTGGGTGCTGATAACGCGTGCCTGCTGATACTCCTACGGCCGAAGACGAATGACTCTCCGGGAACCAGACACTGACAGCTACACAAAACAGAAAAAGGTCAGTGGGATTCTGCTAAAGAAATACACCTATGATAGAGAAAAGCCAACCACTCCCAGTACGCAGTTCAGGTTACACCGCAATTGAGGTGTACAGATAAATCTTGTTACACCTAAAGACATCCGAAGATAAACCTCATATGATTTCACTTTCAGGACCGAAAGGATCAGTTTCTTAGGCGTAGCTCTAAAGAGGAGACAAACGTCCTAAGATCCACATAGCTTGGGACACAAATGAAAACAACAGTAAAAAACTGTAACAAAGTGTTGAAATTATGAACACAGAACAAAAGCTCAGCATTGATGTTAACGTACAGGAGTAAGGACGTACATCTAACTTGAACCCATAATATGACCTACGTTAGCTTAAGACTCTATATCACAGAGGTTATGGTGGTTCAAACTTACTTAAACTAAAATATCCAGATCTCCCGAAGTAGCAAAAGTGCCATTCAGAAACTGTCCAATGTTGGGATGTGCAAAAATTCGAATTAAATGTGGGCACTTAATGTAGTTATGTCATTTCGTGTCTTTGTTGCGAAAAACGCATGCATATGGTGTTCGTATGCAGTGAGGCACAAAAACTAGTTCAAACACGGGGACACTAACGTACACCGGTTGAATTTTTGTGACCCTCTTTGGTGTCACCATCACCCTCACAGTCGTCATTGGGGAGCAGGAGGCGGCAAAGAAGAAGCGTAGAACCGCAAGGTAATTTAATTGCTAATGCAGCCTGTGGAATTGCCATTATCCACATGTTACTTCGCTTGCTTTGAATTTAAGTGGCGAACTTCATTTACAAATACATGTCCACACAAAGATAAATGTCATCAAGGACTTGGTCGGGGCTCCCAGAAAAAAGCTAGTTCAGTCTATATGGAATAATGAAAAGCAAAATTGCACACGGCTAAAAGGGGATAATAGACAGGATGCACAGGCTTTGCCCTAATTACAGTTGACGCAAGATGCAATGTGTGCGCGTAGAAACAACATTGCACACATAAGCATGTAGTGGCCTCCAAAAATGACGACAAGAGGAGCACAACTGCACACGACTTTACTAAAAGATTATACGAATGTAAGAGGTAATGGGGTTCCCGATCAACATTTTGTTGAAAGTGACACACATTTATTGGTAACACGATGGCAAATGAGCGTAATGCCACATCTATCAGACAAAATGAATTGTGGAGTTCAAATACTTTTCGAGCAGAACACTGAGCAATCTAATTTAACACCTAACACCAAAAATTAAGCACTGACACAAATCAAAGTAGAGAATTTGTGTAATGTCTGCGGTGAGGAGGCATGAGTAACTTGGGATAAGACAATGCAAGAATAATCGAATTCACAACAGGGTAAGAGAAATCCACTAAACAGTTCCTCAGTATAACATCGGCATTTAGCAAATATTGTGAGCAATGCCAAACTCTTAGCATGCACATATATACATATTGCTAATTGCCATTGTTCAGGTAACCAAAAATTCAGGCGACCATATTAGGAATTCATACACAAGAGAATCTGGTAAGAAAAGAAGCGCCGAAAAGCTAGAGTGCTTTGGTGAAAGTGTGGCAAACACACGAGGACGCAACCGCGTTTTGCCTTTTGCTCCGCAGGTGCGCTCGCCTGCACCGAAATATCAACCGCCGCTGCGCATCGTTGTTGTCGAATTAGGGTAAATGTTGCCTTTCTCCCCGAACCCGTTAATCCCAAATGCACAAATTGATCTACACACGCGGCGCCACAGTGTACCACACGAGCGTCAAATTTTCGCGCCTGTATCCTTCCGTGGCTCGTTTGCGTGCGCGGGCTCACTTCGATTCTCCTTCATACCTTTCGCATTCAACAAGCGTGCACACATGTGTTCACGTGGGTCGGTTTGGCGAAATTATTCGACCAATCAGCCTCACGGAGTTTGTGCATGTACTAATCAATGTGGCGCAGACATGTCCGGTCACCCATTACCGTGTGCAAATAGTGCGACGTATACGGCTACTGGCAGTATGAACCCCTGCATAGGTTGTCACCGAATAAGGCCAACATGGAGTAGTCGTCCAGTCGCGACGACTAATTCTGGCCTCAACAAAGTGGAATTCCAATTAGACATCATAAATGTATCTAGTCTTACTGAACGTTGCATTTATGTAACTCCTGGTAGAATCAAAACGCTAACAATGATTCCTTTGCCAAACGCGTTATGAATTTTAACTTGTCAAAATAATTATAAAATTTGTGTGGGTTTCTCATTAATTACTTTTAGATACAAGGATGGCTTTTCATTAAACCAAAAGCATTTATGCTAGCTCGAATTATGCATATATTTCGCACAAAAAAGATATTATTGGGAATAATTGGTCAACAAACGCCAGTGTTATGCTCTGATAATTTATCTGTTGTCATGATCCCTTATGAACATTGGAGAGGTTAAAAGACTTCTCTCAGATGAATGACATATGTGTAATAGGAGACAGCAGGTTAGCACGATAACACATTAAAATTCAACAACCTCGATTTCTCGATGCTACCATTTTTAAGAAGGATTTACAAGTTTCACTAACTCGGTTGTCAACCAAACAAATTAGGTATATCTCTAATAAGTGTTTTGTTTTCAATTAATCTCAAAACGGGTCAAATTGCTAAAAATGCATAGGGGCTCACATTCTGTTGCATATAGTTAGTTTTGGGAAAAATTCGAAGGCCAAATTACATGGGCTGCAAGGACTCGTTTACATCGAAAATTGGTCCAGGACATTACAAAGCCAGTCTCGGACGAAGCGCTCTTGATGGATGGCGTCCCGAAGAAGCCACCCAGGGGTGGGGGGATTGAGTCATTATCAGGCGGTTAAATACAACAGACTGTGGGCGAAAGAGCCAATCGCCAGACAATTAGCGCCGGTGAACCACACCTACCTTGTCCTAGTAAGAAGACTACCAATGAGAAGTGAAGTGGAGCGGGGGGGGAAGGAGGACACCCGTAACATGCGTCATGCACTCGACTTGCATACGCGAGGCCACATGCCACGGCCGTAGCTACTGCAATTACGGCAAGAGAACGCGGTGCGACAAGAGCTGTTGAAGCTGAGGTGATACGTTCAAAAATGTGGGGGCCGGCGCGAATTCAACAAGGGCAAGAATAGGTCACGCAGAGTTTATGTCGGGAAAAAGTAATCATTGTGTACCGCAGTGACAACTCAGGCTATATTTGCAGAAAAGAGGTCGCTTTATTACCTACAGGAAAGGGCATTAAACTGTCAAGACAGAAAGGCAATTAAGATGCCAACCGGCTAATAGATATATGATAGTTTCTTGCAAGGCTTTATTTGTCCAAGAACTTGAAATGACAAGAAAACAGATGACCTACTTTTCAGAGTAGTCACCAGTCCAAGGATTACTCCGATTTATACCAAGGAAGGTCAAAAGGTTCAGGTGATCGCAAAAGTACGTGGCTGCAGCGCATGGTATCAGATTTAGACACTGAGAAGTTGTACACTGTTAGGAGGGTCATTTTGCGTCAGTAAAGCGCGATCGACCGTGGTGCAAAAGTTGATTTGCGTCAGTGAAAAGGCTAAAGTACTTGTAAAATGAAGCAACGGAACGCTTGTCTGATTCATTAATAAGAAGGGCTAAATGATTGAGATAAAAGTTTAACCTAATACCTTATTTGCCTTTTTCAGGCAGAGCGGATGACCTAGGTTTGATAATCTGACAGAAAAAGGGCACAGAAAGAGCTTACCGGGGATTATGCGAAACGGTAGACTACGGCGAGCATATAATTATTGGTGGCGAAACTTCATTCGAAATTAATGGGATGCTGCACGTTACATGAGTTAATTTCGGTCATCCAAATCCAAGCTGACGAGCACGGAGTATCAACATTTGATAACGAAAAGTTAAAAAAGTCGAGGAGCTGCAGACTTGGTGTCCAAATAATTAAGCGAAAATTTCCCCGAAATTATGATATGATGACGACTACTCGACCTTTTGTTGAAATTCATATTTGCATACAAGACAAGCCGTATCAATTCCAAAAAAACCGACAGCCATTAGGAATTTAGAATCAATAAAAACAAGCACATATTTTACCGGGAGTATCCGGGGCAGTAGGACACTCCTTGGCATCTGGAGCTCGCTCTGGAGTTGGCGCAGTCGTCTGAGAGATCTGGGAGATCCCGACGAGTACGGAGGGTGTACCGTTGGGCGGAGTAAGGGGGCAAGTTGATGTGGAATTTCCGCTGCTGCTGCCGGCGCTACTGCCTCCACTGCATTCTGCAACTAGAGGAGCAACCTGAGGAGGGGGTGGGGGAGGCGAGAGGGATGATTTGCATTGTGGTGCGACGGTAGTGATGGGGGGCAGGCCCCGTTGACGTCGGATCTCAGCCAACTCAGCTGCCTCCTTATCGAGAAGACGGGCCGAGTTGAGCTCATCATTGAGCTGATTCATGTAAGGGTTCTCAATGCACTCTTGTACAAATGCAAAGAGCTCGTGTTGTAAAAAGTGACAAAGGTCCGCCTCTTCCCCGACTCGACCAAGCGAGGCGATAAAGGAGGTCCATTGGTGAATAGTTGGGCCGACTGCGACGGACCAATGGGAGGAGAGCCCACTCTGTGGAGTTTCACGATAAAGACGGAGATCTGAGAAAAAAAGATATAACGTAAGGACACAGCGAATTTGAACATAGTTGCGACATATCTAAATATAGATCCAATCACTGTCTTTTAGCATGAAAACATTATTGGATGCAGCCCAACTAAGGGACACAAACATCAGCTCGGGTTGAAATTGTGGGACAAAAATCCGCAATATTGCGCAGAGTACGTTGTGTGTCAACAACTTGTTCGTGACCTACGAACACTAACGCATCACTGTTTGTAATTATAACCATTTATGTTGCATGAGGACAACCAAAACAACAGAGCTTTGTAAAACGTTGAGATAGACATTGAGAAACAAGAGGTCAAGATGTAAAACAGGCATGAGATCTGATAAGAACCACGCCCATGGTCGCTATGCGGGTGTTTGGGCGGTGAGCTAAAAACAAACTCCACAGCGGTTTAGGGTGCCTGCACTTTCACTTGGCGATGACATGCGATGGTAGCGCTTATTGTGGGTATTTAAAAAAGCCAACCAAGTCCAAACTAGAGTGGATGGACGGAAACGGACTAGTAGTGCGCCTATGACTATTCAGGAAGCGATTGAGTGATAGGTACTATCACTGAGTTTCGTGATTTGGAATAAATCAGCTTACGTAAGCAAAAAGCAATTGAAGGCGGGGCTATCCACCCAAGATTTTATATAAAACGAAAAAAAGAATGAATCACACTGTTAGCTGCGAATTGACGATACAGTCAAAGACACACACAAAAGAACACATCAAAATCTTCTTAGAATGGAGCGGAGCAGAGGCAGAAGCCACTTTGAAGCGATTGCAAGAACTGGACAACGTTACTGCAAAAACATCCAACGGCAAAATTATAGGCTGCTGACAAATTAAAGGATAATGGATAGGCATTTGGTAAAGAAACACTTGTAATCAAGTGTGCACCTTGTCCATTAAGGCACACACACACACACGCAATGATGAAAGTATCTCGCAAAAAACCTAAAATATAAACAATGACATCAATTGTGTGACAGTGATGGTTTGTAAAATGGTAGTTTACTACAGCTAGATGAGATTAAGCTGAGGAAAGGGCTTTCATTAACTCCGGAGCACAGGTTAAAATGACACTTGGTAAATTGAGCGAGAAGAGGGAAGGCCATTGCTGACATAGTATAGAACTGACACGGTAACTGAGACATTCCAAGAAACTACGTGAAGACGAAAAAGGTGCTTACGGGTGGTGGAAAACGAGGTCAGTCAAAAAATAGAACTGAATACAAATAGCATCAAATGTTCGACTAATTGGGACGGGTGTGACCCATGTACATACCCCATGACAAAGGATAGAGATCAATGACGTCGATAAAGTGGTAATCTAGTAGTTGTTAATCGAACGTGGCCACTACAAAAACGATTTAAACTCAAGGGTGTTAGCAATAAAAGAGCCCAGACGCCAGAAACCAGTAAAATAAGGGGACTTTCGGTGCAAAAAACTAACACAAGCAAGTGAATTAAATTGTTTATTTTGGATAAAAATAAACCGGCCTAGAAAAACAAAACAAAGGCTGAGAGACGTGATATATCCATACAACTGGGAGCAATAAAACAATAAGAGCACGCCTTACTAATGGCGAAAATAGTTTAATGCAAAGTGCTCAGAGAGCAAGAACAGAAAAAAGGAGAATGGAAATTTATTCCTACCAATAGTCAGTCAGAAAGCTTAATAACTACAAAACAGCAAAACAGGCGATTTTACACAGGTAAATGAAATCAGTTGTCAAACCGATGAATACAATATTGCACCCCTACCACAAACAGCAACTGAACCAATTGAGAACAGCATGGGCAAGCTGCTACATGTGCGTTCTGAATGCAAAGCTTTAGACATTCAGGAGTAAACTACATTAAGGACTTACCATCCATGTAATAATAACTAGAGCCAGTAGCATCTTGTCCAGCCTTAATTAATAGACTTTCGTCGTCCGGGGGTCCGAAAATTCCAACGTCTTTGTCGACGACGTTGTCCTTGGGGGCATTGAGAACAGCGTTAAAACTGAGTTCAGGTCGTTCATCGTAGACACACTCGATGAGGTGCTCGAGGAGGAGGGCACGAGCGGGCGCGTCGAGGTCGGCGACTGCGCGTCCAGCACGCGCAGCCTGCAAGGCCTGACGGTGGGTCGTGCGTTTCTCGCTCACAAAGGCGTCCAGCGCCTCGTCCACGCTCGCAATGCATACCATTGGGTCGCGGTGGCGCAGGAACCGGAGAATGCGCGCGACGCAATCACACAGTGGTACTGCGTCCGTGTCTATTAGGATGTGCTGATACAAGTCCTGAGGGGTAAAATGAGGGGTTAAATAGCTGGCGCGAATCACTCATACGCGGTCTGCCAAGGTAACCAAGCGTCGCAAGACCAAAAACCACATCAATCTATTATAAGTACTTGTTCACTAAAAAACATGAATGAGATGTCGCCAAGTGTCTAGGGCCATTGCAATACACGAAAGTCAATTTACGGCCAGATAAAGGTAGACAAGGTTTCTTTGGAAGGCATCGACAGATGAAGTTGGCATTTCTTCACTGATTAAAAAAGCACGCAAGCGGGAAGTTTGGGTTAAAATATTTAAATTGGCATGGCTTCTTGGTAGAGAAAATTCGCATTACGGAATTTTTTACATTTTACAACCGATAGTAGCAGCATGAAACTAGGTGGAAGCTGATCCCGATCAATCACTTCCAGGTAAACAGCAACGACGCATACTCAATTAAGGCAAATTCAAATAGACGTCGTATTGTCCCCAACGCAGCACTGGAAACCAAATTTGTTTTCTTAGAAAGCGTAATCAGCACATACAAACAGAGAAATAAAGTTATCACAAATGATTCTTTTAACCGATCAGGCTACGTCGAGCAGAAATCACAACCGACGGTAACATGACTGAACTAAGGTAACTCGTTTAACACAATGCAAAACAAATCAAGCACATGGATTACTGTTTTGTCGCACAACCAAAGGCTAAGTACGAATATAATTAGGCTCCTAAAGTAGCATGACCAGTGACCAAAGATATCACGGAGTCCCTAAAGGCTGGTGGATCTATAAAATGTCACTTTATCTGCGTATACTTTAAAAACTATAAAGAGTAGAACACGGTGACGTACAAAACACCAAAACATTTGTTACCGGCACACATACAACCAAAGATAATCCGGAAAAGTGATAATATTCTCGAAAAAAAATTGAATTTCTAATGCGGTAACGAAAAAACCCATTCCTTAACAAAATAAAAGATAGATACATATGCAAGCCTTGGAAGTTCGTGCAATTTCGGATTGGCTAGGTGAGAACTATTCTGCAATACGTCATGACGCGAGTGATATTTTAAATAAAATTCAGTCAAAACGTGAGGATGAAGTAGGCACCTAAAAACTAAAAATTTCACTGAGAAACAAAACATTTACCAAGAATTAATACATTGAGTAACCATTATTATTTGTCACTGGGCACAATGGAGAGCGGCAGAAAGCTTAAGAATAATCCTTCTTTATTAGAAATGCAAGTAAAGATTTATTTGGCAGCAACACTAAATATGGGAGCGTAATTAATGTAAATTGAAGCTTCGCAGTTGCTGTAGTTTATCAATGGGCTCTTTTGGTGCAAAAAGTGACAAACGAGAAGCTAGGGCATAGGTGCCAATTGAGTCACCTCTACATTGAAGGCCTACCCCCATTTGCACCGCTCGCGCTTCCGCAACAGTTATGGGACAAGATGCATGCGCACACACAGGCAAAGAAGCTGCGCACACGCACACAGGCAGCAGGAAATACGGTCGTGCGGAGCGACCGTATTTCCACACGCCATGTGCATGCGTGTCTGAACTTACTATTGAGAAAGTGTGTTTATGCCTGCACAGGAAAGAGCATACTAGGAAACGTTCAAGCTTGATTTTGACCAAGCCAAATCAGATTCTTTCCCTAAGCAACCAGACCTGATTGAATTTTGTAAATGTCTCACAGTGATTCTAACTTCCCAGTTTGACTAAAACGAGGCGCATTAAAATAAACGATGCAACAAGCACATGGTTTACCAAACGTAACTAAACCACTATTTCTAAAAAAAGAGAACTACCGATACCAAGAGTTACTGGCTATAAAAACCTAAAAAAATATTTAAAAAACAAAACAAAGGGGCATCTGCTTTATTGAATAATAAAGGAACTCTTGAAGTCACACTTGAGTTAAAATACTCCTGAGGTAAAACACTAGTTTTTATTATAATGCACAAGCAATAAACTCAACATAAACAACAACTTATAAACCTGAAAAGCAACCAAGAAAATAGAAGCCTCCACTATGGAAACAAACGATAACTAAATTAACGATAAGGCTAAAAATCGCGGACGTTCAACAGCGACAACGAAAACGCTGCCACCTCAACATAGGGGCGCTTGTAAAAGTACGGGCATAATGGAGATCACTTCACAGACATTTGCAGAAAATGATCGACGTCAAATATCGTAGTCCAAAAGCGTGGTTTGCATGATGGCTGCAGAAACTCGAGAGCTAAATAGTGAATCGGGTTCTTGTAAAATGTTATTTAAAGATCCAGAGAGAAGAATAAAGTGATGAGGGCTACATAAGACCAGATGGAAACACGAATACGCCATCTGAAAGTCTGTTTACTCACCTGCAAGCGAATGCGAGGAAAGCGAAACCGCTGCTTGTGTTGAACGAAAAACTGCATTAGAAAAGCCAATTTAAATTTATTGATATCCTCCACATTAACAATTGGATCTTCCACCTGAAGAATTTGTACCATTTTGTAGACAATTTAGGAACGAGGTGTGAGCGTTGCAGTGCTCAACGAGTTTTCATTCGGTCCGACAAACTTCTAAAAAGGAATAAAAACTAACATAAATTGCAAATATATGAAGCACAAGCACGAAGAACTACCGCAAAATTAAAACGCAAATTTGTAATTTTTTTTTCATATTGGACGTCTTAAAAAATTTCTCACGAAAAGGCACACACAATACCCTAAGACTAAACACGAAGACAGTCGGTGGAAACTGCACACAAAATTACTGGATCCAATGATTTTAACCAGGATAATGAGGGAAAAGTAGAATTCCACGCCAATAAAGTTTGCGACAATGCAGGGAAGAAGCGGTAAAAAAGGAATAAAAACCAAGACAAAACACGATTTAAGAATCCTAAGCAAGTAACCAATGTACAAACAACAGAAAAGTAAAATCGCGACCTTAGTGCAGGCCATTACTAAGCAAAGGAATGCGATTGCTCGGGCAAACCAAAAGGCACACCATTAGACAATCAAAAGCAGAAAGATTTGACAAAAAGTGTAAAATTATAAAAGCACAACATTGTGAAGTCACGAATACAAATCTTACAATAGCTCCACTAAACGATGGAGGAAACTGCAGGCTGCTGATTGCCACAAAATTTAACCCAAATGGGCAAAAACAAAAATTCAAGATCACTAATAAGGGATTAATGGTCTTATTTGACAACGTAATACAGTAAAACAACCAAATAGCAAAATCATTATAATTTATCCACGAAATTTGACAGCATTTCTGCAGCAATAATTTAATTGAAAATGTTATAGAAAGTAGAAAATTTAATTAGGTGCTAGTTGCTACGGCCTTTACTTGCAGAGGCAATAAAATTTGCTTAAAGTTAATTTTATTTCTGATCAAAGTAAAAACATATTCCCTATAAAAAGTGATAATTTTTGCAATTATTTTAATTTTTTGCATTAGAAAAGCTATTAAAATATGGTATTGTTTGAAGTATTAATTTAAATTTTTAATCTATTTTTACAATACACTGCCATTATTAAATAATCAGATATTCTAACGTAGAAGCTAGATTTTGGCTCTCTCCGCACACGCAAAACAACATTTTAACTTCTTTCAAAATTAACTGTTTTTGATTTATGAAAGTGGTATGTCTTTTTTTTTACCAAAGACGGTTGTATTATGAAGACTAAACATAACTTTCAATGCGGCAAAATTATGTCTAAATATCGATGCATAGGGATAAATTCTAGCCTTGAGTTACAATGCATTTCGTTACAGAATTTATTTGTCTTGTTCGTTTATTTGTTATAAACTATCTGAAAGCTCTTGAAAATTTTATAAATCAAAGAATCTTTTGTGCTCCCAATGTAAAACGATTCTTAATGCAGGCCACACTTTATTTGAATAACATCATTCAAAATGACCTTGACTCCTTAGGATTGGGAATTAGCCGCACATTCAGTTTTCTCCTCGATATTTTTGACTTCCTATTTTAATCATTATTATGTTATAACGCTTGGCTTTTGTTATTTTCTAATAATTCAAATTTGGAGAATGGTGTAACGACGCTCCGCACAATCACTTATAATTTTCTGAACTTAGCGAAACAGATTTTTTCCTGCTATTAGAGATAACTTTCCAAAGCATTATATGTGTTGGCATTCCAAAAGTATTGGTACCTTTAATGGATGTTTTGCAGAACAGGGGCCTCTATACTGCATCATTGTTGTTTGGATTTGTTCCTGTTGAACTCTACTTAAGAGTTAGTGGAAATGATGATTTTCAACAAAAACTTACCGCTTTCTCACAGCTTCGTGTTCTTCTAACAACATTTCTAAAAAACGTAACATTATTAATGGACCATGTTCCTGATAACGATGACAGCCATTTTCTTGAACTTACTGCTCACATGGCTTCATTTGTGACACTTTTACGAAGACTACTACGAGTTGACAACATTGAGGTTCTTGAAAATTGTTTTTCATTGTTGATGGTGAGCTGATTACACTCCCTTTATTGCCACTGTGTAGGCTGTCTTTTTTTGAGGCCAGATAGCTGATGTGAAACATAGTTTTTAGATACCACTTGTTTTACTTATTTCACTTTCATTGTATATTTAAAATTAGCAAACCGCCAGCCAAAAAGGTATAAAAAAATAAGGCAATTTGTATAGGTATGCAACTTTATACAAATCTTCCAAGCCTTAGTCGCTAAGATTAGGTTTACCATTCACGAGATCCTTACAGCAAATATTTGAACCATAATTGAATGCATCTCGAAAATCTTACTCTTCAGAATTTTTTTTTCGAAATTTATTTAAGGTGCTTACCAGTGGTCTTCCAGCGAGTGTGATTAACAGCATAAAGGAATTTTTAATTGCTGCAATTTTTCAACGCCTTGATAGTCAACATGAAAATGTCAGGAAATCAATACAGATTCTCTCTTCCATGCTTTGCAAACGCCTTCCAGTTCATCTCGTTATTGAATTTGTTAATCTGCAAATCAATTGTCAATGCGCATCCACAAAACGGAAATTGATTGATGTCTTGACGACAATCATTCTAGAGAACCGAACGATTCCGAAGAAACCCAAACCTCTGTTATGGAAACTGGCACAGCTCATGCTTGATTGTGAAATACAGGTGAGATCTTGCTAAATAGACATTCAAATTTAATTTAAAAGTCAAGTTCTTTACTAAAAGAAAGCTGCATTTCAGGTGAGAATAGCTGCACTGGAATGCTTAGCAGCGATTTTTTCATTGATGTCTCTATCAGTTACGGATTTCGTAAACAACATAGCTACAAATTTCCCTCCTTCGATCGATGTCTGCACTAAGAAGAAAATTCTTCGCTGTATAAAAGAGCGCATTAAAGTAAACGAACCCCCAAAACTGCGACCTGATGGTTTGTTAGAATATAATTTGAATGACCTAAAAGCAAAAACCTCAGGTAATATTTTTTTTAAAACATATCAAAATGTAATGCTTTACTCCGAAAGCTTACCAAAATACTCGGTATTACTTCCTGGTGCAAGTATAAGGTTCTAATAATTTGAAGATTCGTTTGCTACTTTGAAGATCGTGTTGACTGTCATCTGAAGAGCGTTTTAAAATTCCGCAATAGCTTTGAAGTGTCTTAGCAACCCATAATTTTGCAGTGACAACATTTCTCCATGTTAAGTGTGCAGTAAGTAAATGGTGAACATTAAGTAACATACTCTTACGGATGATCGTGTTGCACATCTCCTTTGACTCTCGAAAAAGCCTTACGCCAAAAATATTTCGTTTGATTTTCCAGAACTTTATTGTAATATTATTGTCACATTTTTCACATAGCCTGATGTTTGTGACTCTGGATCCAGCTTTATTATGGAAAGAAAGTTATGATTCCCATATTGTCTATTAAATACCTCATTTTTAGAGTTGCCAATTACTGCTGGTTTACGAACAAAAAAAGACTGTAATTCAAATGTCAATGCTACTTACAATGTAGGTTCAAACCACGTTTTTTTAAGTTTTCAATTTTGTACAAATAATGTGGATTTTTTGTGCAATTCGAAAGAAAGAAACCGAGACTGGTGAAGTGCATTATCAACATGTTATAATCTACGAAGTGGATTCCTGAGGTGCATATAAACATGTCAGAGATCATCACGAGACGAACTTAATCAATTGTGATTGCGTTTCTTTTAACTCGGCCAATGTACACGACCTAATATTCTTATAACCGATGATTTTTACGCGATAAGGCAATATAGAGACATTTGGACCTGTGCAGTTTTGATGTGTTCAAAACAGATTGAAGAATGTGAATGGATTAATATAGAGACAATACCCGAAAAGAAGATTGCATATATTTGGTTTAGGTGTTTTTTTTATTCCGCAAAAGCATCATATCGCAGAATTGCATTATTATTAGTTTACTCTTACGGAGATATTACGACAGCATCTGGGTCATTCAAGCTCACCCCAAACAGAGTATCGTAGGATTTGTTGCACATTCTCAACCTAAAGCGATAAAGAGCTAAACAATTCACACTACAATTTGATAAATCAGGGACGTTATCTAACAGCACTTTGTGATATGATTGCACATTATAACACTGGGTATGCTTTTCAAGAATACGCCAAAATCACTTTCCATTTATGCAAGCCAAATTAAGGTAGTGCCATTTAATTTGATCGATTAAGCTACGAGAGCAAATAGCCTTAAGCCCTGATTAAGAACCGAAGGCTATTTCAAAAATATTTACAAGCGTAATAAAACCAAACAATACCCTGCGCTTCTTGAAGTCAGCATCTTGGCTCCAGGACTTTCATTTTTTCGAGCTCGACTGACCTGAAATCTATTCTGGTAATATGCTTTATAATAATCCTGAGGGAATACTAGCTAAATCTTGAAGGATACATAGTGAGACTTGCATCCAAGTGTCAAGTGACACTTTTTTAGGAAATCTCGAGGTCACCACCACGGATTTATCCCCGGAGAACAGCATTGCAGCGTAATCGTCGTCCAAATTGCAGTTACCTTGATCATTTCTCTGGTAAGATAGGTTTCTATCCTCAAAAGCTTTTCCCAAAAGTCTCAGCAAATAAGTACTTCGTGGTACTTATAATAGGTAAAAGCTTGGTTTGATAGTGTTGTATCTTGACATACTTCAAAGTAACTTATGAATTTCGCGCTTGGAATGCCACCACTTTTTCAAGAATTTGTATAGGTATCAGACTGGATGAACGCTTTCAACGTTTAAAATTAGTCACTATCAAAAACTCCGGATCTTAGCCTCCATTGCCCAAAATGTACTTAACTTAACTTTTGAGAATGTTCTTACATGAAAATTGTAAAAACCTTATACCTAACTTTCCATATGCCCGCCAAATATGTTATGCGTAATAAATCCTTAATCCAGGATATTGTCTTTTCCATCCATTCAAGCATGAGCTGCCTATTTTAACTTAGAACAAATTACTTGCATTGTTTTTTGCACGAAAAGTTGAATTTTAAAGGAGTTAGTCCATTTCCAATCAAAATATTTGAAATCACTCAACCCCATTTACTTCCAAGAGGTGATAATTTACTAGCTTTGAAATTTATAATTTTGGCGTTTCTCCGTGAATCCCAACCGAAACGGCATCAGTTCTGCACATTCCCGCTTTGCTATTCGAATTGCACTCTAATCGCGACTTACTTATTTTTTAGTTCTTTTCATTATGCCTCACCTTGAATGCAAGAGTTCCATTCACATCAGAAACTCTTAAGTTACGTCTAGGAAACAAAGGTCAAATATTATGGTTGAACGTTTTAGTTATTCAAAATGGGCAGATTATAAAACGCAAATGAAGGCGCTCTATGTATGTCTTTTGGCAATTAGATCACTTAATTTTATAAATTCCTATTACTCATTAGCCTAGCTCACTATTAAAAGCAGGATAAGATTTCATTTACCTTCAAACTCAGATGAACGAGTTTGCCATGTGAACCATCCTACCTTAAATTGAATGAGTAAAACTACACTAGGTTGTTCAAGGGGGTCTAGAATTTCACTTTTGTAAAATTTTTTAGGTAGTTGAAATGCTTCAGCATTATAGCATGTGAAGACTTTGGACTTAGCTTTTTTAATTATGGGATTTATCAATTTGCCAGAATTAGAAAGCCAAACTGCTAAATTACCTTGTAGCGCTTCAAAAATTCCAAAATATCAGTAGGCCTTGTCAAGCTTCCCGAGCAGCGCTGACCCGTTCTACTGACGAGGAGACCGGTACATCAATACCACTGAGGAAAAGCACTTCTTTCATTAACGAGTCAACAGAAAAGGTTACTCAAAACACCTACGCATTCATTACCAGAAAAAAGAGTACGAAGGAAAACAAAAGTAATTTTATGGAATGGAATTCGGTCCCAAGCTGTTCCTTTGATACTTCGGAGGAAATTGGTGGAGTACGTGGACGACTGTTGTCATTTCACATAGGATATTTTTTCCTCAAAATCACAATCAATTTCGGTTTAATTCAAATGTTAGTGCGGGCTTTGTTCTGTAGTCACCTTAACTCACTTATTCCCAGAGCAAAGTTAGTCAAATTTAAGCAAACTTTTCGCGGTTGCTTAATTTGTCAATGAACAAGCAGATTATGGTGCTGTTACAACATACCAAGTGTTAGTGACTTGGACAGAAAGATTGAAAATAGATGATGAAGCAGTGACCAAGTGCTAAACTACTATTACATCTATAGCACTGAGCTGAATCTAAATCTTTTCAATAAAGAAATTCGTTCATGAAAATTTGCACTACTTGGCCGCGTTCCCAGCTTTACTCTACTTTCTTCCTTTCTAGTCAGTTGTGTTAAGGCGATGTCACTCGGCGCTCTCAACTGAAGACAGAGATTATGAGGGCCTGGTTAGTCTCTCCCAGGTACCGCCAATTATTTGATAACCTTATGACCTCCCTAACTTATCAGATTGCTGAATCAATCATGAGCATTAAGTGTTCTGCTTCCAAACGACTTGACTCTTTAAGAAGTCGAATTTCCCGGTCTAAGAACTGTGAGGGTCAGCCTACTGAAAGGTAACTTTAAATTAACTGTTTTTTTTCTGAAGACAACCGTTAAAAGCACTTGTATTATTGGAAAAAACACAGGCTTGGGCTCAGAAAAGCCAAGCTTTATTCACTCAAACGAATGTTCATCAGAATTACGCTGGTGATGTAACTGAAATAGTGACCAAGGAAAGCCGTGAGACCTCAACTCGAATGAGCAGTGGATACGCGTCAGAGGATGTTAATCAGGCGGTAAGCGTATTACCCCATGACGAAGTCATAACAGGTTAGTATTGGTGATGGTCCGTTTTGTTATAAAGAAATCATGTATTTGAATTAATTTTTTTTTCATTTGTAAATTTGCTGGAAATCAAGGAAAAAACACGAATGCGACATTTTCCAATCCGTGGCAACCCATGATACCAGTTTCAGCTATTGGAACACATATTCGTCCACGCCTGCGGAAAACTAAGTAAGATGGCTGGATAAGAACCAGAAATCTTTTATTTTCCTCTTGTAAGAATAGCAAGGGGTAGAACTGAGATGAATTCAATTTTTGCAAATACTTGGTCCTGAAAAATATTCATACAAACCTGTCAGTCTCCCTTTTCTCACTCTAATTACGCCCGCGAAAGTTAACTCGGTGTAGACAGTTCAAGTTTGCTAGGGTGTTGGGATGGGTGGTAATATCTGGTCTCGATCGAAGCAGTCGCTAGTTAGTTATTTCAAACTCGCACGAAGAGGTACGTATTGAAGCCCACAACGGAGTAGAGCAGCGATCGTGACTTGATGCCGAATGGTGGACAAGAAATGAGCGCATCATTTGTAAGACATTAGGCATTAAGAAAAATAAAGTTAAGTGAGCATGTGATGGTTGTGTCAGAGCCTCATATTTACCTACCATCTTGCCAAAAATTAAAGATTCACAGTATTTCCCGCTGCAGGTCAAATGGAATTAGCATTCATTACATATCTAAAGGCCCAATGCCCTGCATTATGTACTCACACAAACGCTTGCACAAACGATCAGATGACATGGTTTTCCATGAATATCAAATTATCAGATCAACGTAGCCCATGGCAACGAATGCAGCACATGAAGTTACCTATTTAGTTTAAGAGATAAAAGGGAACAGCTTTTTAGAGAATTTTAAGTTTAGATCGCAAGTTGCTTAAGTGGTTGCAAAGCCAATTGCCTTTTGTCAAGATTTTGAAATCTCTCAGGCATTGCTCTTGTATTAGAGGTCAGTGCTTCTGTGGGAAGGTGCTAATGATTTTAGTCTGACAAAGTCTGCAGGAGTTGATCCAATTAATGAATAAGTTGAGAAATATATGATGAAGCATCGAATGCATCTTAAACTAGTTATCCCAAGGAAAACCGGCCGTTGATCTAGATTTTTCATGGTGGCATTCTTGGCTTCACATGTGACTGGGTATGGGCAGTACAGTAACATGTGAAACACAAAATATAAACAATCAACTTTAGATGGTTGGCTTGTTTGGAACACAATTCTAAGCACCGCATTTTGCCCAAAATAATCGGATCACTTTAAGAATATTTCTGGATGGTTGCTTCCACAGATTAATCATTTCCCCCTATTTTCTGACTGCAGAAGCACACTCTGTCTGGTATTCTAGGTTAACGAGCCCCATGAGATCACGGACAGTGCATTGGGCTAGTCGGCCTTTCCACGCAGTTGATAGAGATGCCATCAGTAGTGTTGATGATTTGACCTCGACCAACTGGCAGGATCAGCATTGCGCTTTGCAGTGCCTGAGCGGATTCCTCAGGTCTGATGTGCCTAGTCAGGAGCACGAACTGCGCAAGTGGTCACCAGGGAAAATACAACAATTGTGCAGCGGTTTGGTATTTACGACGTCCAGCCTGCGATCACAGGTGAGGGCATTTTTTCTTCCTACCTCTGCAAAAATAATCTAGATGTATTGGTCAGTTTTACATTTGTGTTTCATTCCCAACTGTTTAACAGTAGTTAAAGATTTACCAAAATGATATTACAGGAATTCGAACTATATGGTAAATCAGAGTTGGTTGACTAGGGAGTTTTCTGAAGTCCGTAAGAAGGAGTGCGTTTTTAAGAATCATCTCTCTCGTCCAGATATCAAGAATGGCCATAACGATCATTAAATCCACTATCAGGCAACTTTCTCCCTCGCAACTCGAGCCAGTCACAATGAAACTCTTCTTCGGCCTAATCTCCCGTGTTGGTGGTGACGCAAGTTCATCTTTCCTCCGCACTGAAGCCTGTGAAGCAATATCCCTCCTTGTCAGTCAAGCGTCTCCTTTCATTATCGTTACCTGCCTCAATGACGCTTGCCACAGCATCCAAGCAAGAAGTGTGGCTGGCCGAAGATGTCTCGCCCATTGCTATGCCTCTGTCCTGCCTCGCCTTCTCCCACCCAAAGCTTCCTTGTCGAAGGCCAGCGATAAGCCTATAGGCACAGGCAAACGAAAAGACATATTTGATAAGATTTTATTCCACGTGGTCTCTTTCCTTAGGGATGGGGATCTCGAAACAAGGTACGTCTAACATTTATCAATATGGCAGTGCTGTGTGAGTTGCGATCTATAAGACTATAAGGGACATTTTAATACTCGGATCTTTCTTAAAACTGCGTATCTTCTAGTAAAACTGGCACTGACTTAGAGCACCACATTTCAAGTTCTCGAGTTAGCTTTGCCAGGAAAATTCACGCTTAGAGGAATTTTCTACATGAGTAGGCGCTTCAAATCATTGATCTTGTGTGACGATTAACAAATTAGTGTCTGTGGTTTGTAACAATTCCAAGGCTACTCATGACTATTGCCTTGAACTAGCACTATTATATTTTGATTCCCTTAATTTTCATGTCCTACAAACAATGAAGATTTGTTTCAATTTTCAACTTTTCCATAATTCATCTTTTTGGAAGACCCAACATTTTCGCTAATTCATTTATAGTATCACGTCAATGAGTCGCTAACTGCTTCCCACAGGTTTTGATGCATTATTATCCTAATTTTTTTTAATGAACTTTCTAATTTTTTTTCCAATAGAACCTGTGCTAAGAAAGTTCTCCAAATTTTGTCAACAATTCCTGGTTTTGAAACTCATTACAAAGTAGCGTTAAATGAACACGACCGCAACGCGGTCAACGAAATCCTTGATAAACTGGCTAATAGCAAGGTAGTAAACTCTATTGATGCTAATCGTGGATGCACTACATGCGCATTCATACATGACTCTCGACCGGTTCGAAATATTTAGACTTTTGAGACGTCTCTCAAGCCGGCTGATGGCCTCCGGCACCAAAGGCGATTGCGCAGCCAGCCTCCACCTTACCGTAGTCCTCCAGTGGGCAAAGTGCATTTATCCTTGTGTGAAGCCGATTCATCCAGGCGATCGGACTGGCATCAAAGTCTCTTGTCTCTTCATGAGCTTGGAACTCGGCTATTGACAACACCAGTTACCACTGACCTTTCAACTTCTGAGGTAATATCGCGCCCATATACAAAGTAAATAGTCAAAGAACTTGAGAGTGTATAATAATAGATTATTCTTAAATTAAAAAAACAGCTATTTCAAAATTCGAGAATCTTACAGGAATTTAAAGTTGGATATTAGGGACGTGGATCTAAATATTACGGAAGAAATACTTCAGGGGGGCTGGAAAAAGTGACTTAATGTAGACCCATATTCGAAATTTAAAAACATCATTCACTTGAAAATGGCAAATGTCACAGTTCTTAATAATACGTCTGAA